CCGAGTCCCCGACACCGCCCGCCCCGCGCTCGCCATGCGTCCCGGGACGTCGAGGGTGCCCTGGACGCTGTCCTGGGGGATTCTGCTCTGCGCCGCGGGGTCCGCGAGTTCCACGAGCTCGGGGGACTCGGTGCCGGGTGAGTGGGGTACAGCCGGAAGGGGCGGGCGGGAGGGCCACCCACGTGGCCTGCGGAATGCGGCCCCCGGGCGAAGTTGGGGTTGGGTGGGGGGAACGACGACAAGCACCCGAGGCGCTTGGGGCAGGGGGTGTCGGGGAGCCGGTGGGGTTCCCCCCACCCCGACGTCGGCAGAGCCAGAGACCCGTCAGCGGATGGGGGGGGTCTCCCACTCTCGCCTTCTGGGACTGTCCCCATTTTCCAGATGAGGACACTGAGGCTCGGGGTCATGGTAGCTGGTGGGTGGCAGACGGCGGATAGGACGGTGTGGCTGCGTCCCGAGGCTCTGGAGAGGAGCGATGGATGGGGTCTGCATCCAGAGTCTCAGACTCACCCCAGACAGGGTCGGCTGCTCGCTCGCGTCTGGAAAGTGACGTGCTTTACCCCCTGCCTCAGTTTCTTTTTCTTTTATTATTATTATTATTGTTTTTAATAAGATGGGTGCTGAGGTGCTGGGCTCAGTCCCTAAAAGAGCCAAGAGAACGCTGGGACTTGGGGAAGGGAGGGGGAGGCATGGCAGTTCCTGCTCCCCCCACCCCATACACTTAAGGCTCTAAGAAACAGGACCTTTCTGCCTCCCTACCCCCATCCCACCCTCCTGGGCAGCCCCACCCAGACTCGGGGTGGGGGGGAGACCAAGCCCCCTCCCCCAGAGGTCCTGTCCCTGGGGAGAGGTGAGCTCATGCCCGGGGAATGTTCCCAAGTTGGAGTGAGTAAGAGGCGGGTCAGACAAGGGGGGGCTGCAGGCTGGGGGCTCCGCGGTGCCCTCGGGTGCTGTCTAGACAGAGGGCAGAGGCGGGAAGCCGCTGCAGGCCTACTGACCCTGACATAGCCAGCGCCTGGCATTTGACTGGTTGGGCAAGCTGCCAGTTCCCAGGAGTAAGGGCTGGAACCGTGGGGTGGGACTCAGGGGAGGAGGGATCCCCAAAGAGATCAAGCTAGGGCAGCACCTGTGTGTGCTGTTGTCTCGCCCCTCCTTCCTGGCTCAGGGGTAAGTGCTCCGTGGGAACTGCCTACAATGGACAGTACCTGGCCTCCAGGAAGGGAAGCTGGCTCTCAGTAGCCTTGCCATGATGTCTGTGGTCCCCTTTCTGCCACAGATGGAGTCTGCTGGGCTTTGAACAGAGAAGAACCCGGCTGCAGCCAGGTGATACAGGTGGATGTGAGCCGGGCTGAGTGCTGTGCCTCTGGGAGCACGAATTATGCCTGGTCCAACTCTAACCACACCTTGACCCAGTTAGGCCTGGTGAATTACCTGGGTGAGCTCTCGTGTAAACCATGCAAAGGTGAGGCTCCTCCCCCTCCCCTCTCCACCCCGCCCATCAGTGCTGGCCATCAGCCAGGGGATAGCATAGAAGGGGCTCAGCTCAGAACCAGCAAAACCATGGTGGCTGTTAATGATGGGACACTGGGAAAAGGGGTGAGGTGGGGACTTCCCAGCCTTCCTAGGCTTCAGCCTCCTGGGGTTGAGGATTGACGAGGAGGGTTCATCATACAGAGCCTCTGGTTGGTTGGCTTAGATTAGACTCCTAGGAAGTAAGGTTGTTCTGAATGGTTCAAGGTAACTCCCTATGTCCTCATCAGCCCCCCCCCCTTGTTTGTTTTTTTTTCCTTATTGTAGATTGTTGGGCTTGAACTGAGGGCCTGGGCTCCATCCCTGAGCTCTTTTGCTCAAGGCCAGAAATTTTCTGGTGGTTAATTAGAGGTAGGAATCTCAAGGACTTTCCTGTCTGGGCTGGCTTCACACTGTGATCCGCAGGTCTCAGATTCCCGAGTAGCTAGGATATAAGGATGAACCACCAGCACTCAGCTCATTGGGGCCTTTAAAGTTGCCCATCTTCCCTCACCCTCCAACACACTAAGAAACAAATGAGAGTCTTGAATGATGGTTTGATTGGAGGACACTCCTGGTCCCCTTGTGGTCAAGGGATGAATCTTTAGGCACTCAAAGAATGCTGAGGTTGCATTTGAAGGGCATTATAGCCCGGGTATTGGGGGATGATTACAAGTTTGCTGGATAGAAAAGCTATGAAAGCAGGTATGAACAGAAGAAACCATGGCCGGGGGGGGGGGGGTCAGGGCAGAGGAGCAGGGAAGAGGCCGGAGCCGAGGGCTACAGACCTGAAGGTCTGAGTCTTACAGTCTGTGAAATATGATTAATCCCAGATCAGCCTGTCTGGGTGGTCCTGAACTCAGTGCCACATGCTTCTCTTCCAGAACCCCCTCTGGCTTCTAGAAGGAGGCAGACTTCAAAAATGCCTGGCCTGAGCAAGAGATGGCCCAGGACTTCCCCCTTTCCCCACCTCATCTGGCCCTGGGGACAGGAACTTAACCCTCCCCCCTCCCCTCCTCTCCCTGTTGGCGTGAAGCTGTCAGGTCGAGCGGTTCCAGATGTGACTTTGGGCAGGCTGTGTGGGAGGTCCCAGGTGTGGACCACATTGTCCTGCCCTAAGAGATGGGGGTGAGTGGGAGCAGTGTTGGTCACTCTTTGAGGGGTGTTCACTGACCCTATAAGGTGGAACCCCAGCCTCTTTTACAATGGGAAACAGATCCGAATGTAAACAACCCACCTCAAGTGACAGAACTCAGTGGGGGCATCTAAACCTAGGTCTACCCTGCAGTTAGTTCTCAAGTCCAGGTGCTCTTGGGTCTCACAACTGTAACCACACCTCGGTTCCCCATCTGTACAATGTGTCACATTGAAACGGAAGCAACGAGGGTGCCAGGGAGAGACTTCCTCCAGCTGGACCTCAGTTTCTCTACCTGAGAAATGGGTTGGTGGGGAGAAGCAACTGGTTCAAGGACGATCCTTTTCCCAGAAATGCTTGTCTGCTGACGCTCCATCCTCCCCAACATGGACTCTGGGGAGTTCGCAGCTTCCACCCCAGACCCCGTCCCTGGAGTAGATCCCCTTCCCCTAGTGGCTATGCCGGCCTTGCTCAAAACCTGAGGGAATCTGGGAACAGACGTTAGCACAGGCGGGGAAGGAAAGCCGAGCTCAGATCTAGGAGCAGAAACATTGACAGCCCCCTTTCAGCTCCTCTCCCCTCCCCCTGACTCCAGCGCAGCCTCGAGTCCTGATCCCCTGCAGGGTCGCACGCAGGCCCTGGCCAGGGCCCCATTCATCAACCTCGTCTCCATCCTTCAGCGCCCAAGTCCCACGCGCGCGCGTGTTTCTGTGTCTGCAGATTCCTGCGACGGCGTGCGGTGCGGCCCGCACGAGGAGTGCCGCATGCTGAAAGGCTTCCCGACCTGCGTGTGCGCCCCCAACTGCACGGGGCTCCAGGCGAACGTGTCCGTGTGCGCCTCGGATGGCAATACCTACCGGGACGAGTGCGAGCTGTTGCACACACAGCAATGCCGCGGGCACTCGGAAGTGCAACTCATGTATCGCAGCAGCTGCCAAGGTACGGGGGTGGAGCATCTGGGGGCGTAACGGGGGCGTGGTCAGCGGAAGGCGGGGCCAACCTGACGGCGGAGTGGTCCTACTGGGCCGCTGCCGCTGCCACAGTACAGAGGCAGGGCCGTGAGGGGCGGGGCCAGGGGGCGGGGCCTACGGGAAGTGAGAGAACACGCGGACCGGCGCGTGTTGTAACTACACCGCGGCCTGGGCTATGGAAGGGACGGGGCGCTACGTGGACCCGCCCGTCCTTTATTGGGCTGGCGGAAGGGGCAGACCCTGCTACTTAGCGTGCCTAGGACAGGACTCCTGGATTGGAGCGAGAAGTAGTGTGGCTCTCGGGTGTTGCTGGGGGGGGCGGAGCTTGGAGATGGAACCCTTAAGGGGCCTGTGGGTGGAGCCAAGAGAGGCTGGACTTGGCAACTAGGAGGGAATTTGTGGGTAGGGCGAGGGACGGGGCTGCGAGAGTGGACGGGGCCCGATTGGGGCGTGGCCTGCGGCGTGGGTGGAGCCAAGAGGGGCAGGACTTGGCAACTAGGAGGGGATTTGTGGGTAGGGGAGGGGCGTGGCCCGATGGGGGCGTGGCCTGAGGCGTGGGTGGGGCCCGCGGCGCAGCCTGGCTGGGCGGGAGCGCATCGGGGCTGAAGGGTGGGTGTGGAGCGGGTCCCGCCGCCCCAGGGCCGCTGACCTGCTCTGGCATCGACCCCCCCCCCCCCGCCACGCAGTGTCCTGCGAGAATGTGGTGTGCGAGCCTCCGCTGTCGTGCCTGACCGATGTTTCCGGCCGAGCATACTGCGTGACCTGTGGACGCCGGCCCTGCCCCATACCCACCGTTCCCGGCCACGAGGTTTGCGGTAAAAACAACGTCACCTACCTCTCCCCGTGCCACCTGCGCCGAGCCACCTGTCTCCTGGGCCGTTCTATAGGCATTCGCCACCAGGGCAGATGCAGAGGTGAGGTAGCAGGGTCCTGGGTCTCAAAGCCACAGGCTCCACCCTGGAAGGCGCAGGCGCCTTCATCTCCTTGTCTTCCTCCTCTTCCTTGCCTCCCTCTGCTCCACCCCCTCCCCATCCGGCAGAGCAGACCTGGGAACCCACCACCGGGGAGCCACCGATCCCTGGGGAGCCAACGTCCACCGTGTACTGAGATGAGGAGAAAAACTTCGTGTGAGCCGCTGGCGGCCGGGTCTGGCACGTGAGGCCGGCCTTCATCTATTTATTGCTACAGAATCAGAATCTAATTTATGTCCCCTCCCCCCTTTCCACCCCCCACTCCCTGTACCTGGCCTGGGATCCCCAAGCACCATGACAAAGGATGACAAAGGATGGAGGGAAGGAAGCCTAAGAAGGGACGATGGAAGTGCGGCCTGCCGGAAATACCCAATCTCCATCCCTGGGACCTGATGCCCAGAGGACCCTAGGGTGCTTCTGCCCCCCTTGGGGATGGCTATTAATTATTCCCACCACCAGCAAGAGGGTGCCCTGAAGGTTCTGATCTGTACCAAGGGTCTGTTTGCTGTTCTAGCCCTGACTCAGGCCCTAGGTGAAATATTGAGGGATCAGGTCCTTCATAATGCCCTCCTCACCCTGAACTCCAGGTTCTTGACCTCCCACTACCTCTATTTACCCTCTATATCCTCAAGAGATGCTCAGTGTATCCTTCCAAGCTGGGGTCCCATCTGTGCCTACTGACGAAGGCCTGATTTGGCCACAGAACTGCCCAAGGGCTTCCTTAATCCCCCTCCCCATTCACCTGGGGATTAGATGTGGGTGGTCAGCACAGGGTGCTGTCCAGTGGTGCCAAGTCTCCTTAAGGTGAGGCCTGAGGTGTGATGTGGATACCAGGGCCTGCTGCACAGGACATCTTGGAGAAGCCCTTGCTGCTATCCTCAGGCCTTCACACCAGTCCCCACATTGCCCACCAGTCCAGCTGTGAGTGGTCGTCCCAGCCTGGTGCTGTTCTGAGCCTGTTCTGTGAGATTCCTAACCTTCTATCCAGACAGCGCTGTTTCCCAGAATCACCCTCTTGTGCCTTCCTGAAGACCACAGGCTCAGACCCAATAGGAGGAAGACCACCCCCTCCCCAGATCAGGGTGAAAAGTTTCCACCCACCCCCTCTAGCTCCAGGCCACACTTTTTTTTTGGAGGGGTCGGGTCATATGGCCTGAACTCTGGGCCTGGGCGCTATCCCTCAGCTCTTCAGCTCAAGGCTAGCCCTCTACCACTTGAGCCACAGTGCCACTTCCAGCTTTTTTCTTTTTTGCTTATGTGGTGCTGAGGAATCGAACCCAGGACCTCATGCATGCAAGGCAAGCGCTTTACCACTGAGCCACCTTCCCAGCCCCCAGGCCACACTTTTCTCGTGAGTCCACCAGTGTCCTCAATTGGGTAACTACAAAGCCTGACAAAGCAGTCCCCCTGACCCTGAGGTCCTGCTTCATCAAAGAAATAAAAACTGAAAAGCCACTGTAGGTGTCCAAACTTCTGTTGCATCCTCTCTCTAGGCTTTGTGCTGCCCCTCAAGCCAGGTATGACCAGCTGAGGTCTGGGGTGGTGCATGGGACCACAGAAGCTTCCAGAAAGACATGGCACATGTCCTTTGGTGTGCATCTCCAGGAAACAGGCAGCAGCCATCGATGGGCAGAAGCAGCCAAAGGAGAGTGGAGAGAAAAAAAGGAGCCTCTCTGGGGGCTAGCTCAGGCCAGCTCTTTGGGAATTCAGAAGTAAAAGCCTGGGATTGGGCATGGTGGTTCACATCTGTCATCCTAGCTACTTGGGAGGCAAAGATAGGAAAGATCAAAGTTCAATGCCAGCCAGGGCAAAAAGTTACGATTTCCCTTCCCCATCTCAACCAATAAGCCAGGTATGGTGGTTCAGATCTGTCATCCCAGCTATGAGGCAGATAGAGATAAAAGGATTCAGGTCCATGGCTGGCCCAGAGATGAAAAAAACACACATACACACAAAACAACCAAGAGACTATTTGAAAAACAACTAAAGTAAAAAAAAGTACTGGGGTCATGGCTCAAGTGGCAGAGTGCCTAACTAGCCAGAACAGGGACCTAAGTTCAAACCCCAGTACTGGGGGGGGGGGGAACATCACCAGCAACATCTTGAGACTGTCATGCGGGCTGACATTTGCTGGGTGCTTTGGTTTTCAGAGGACAAGCTTTGGGGGAATGCCAGATCAACCCAGAGTTCCCATGAGGGTCAGCAAGACCCCACTGTGATATCCCCCAACAGCCGTTGGCCCCTGCTCAGGGAATGCTAGGTGTCCAAGCCTCAGTTTCTCATCCGCACACCCATGTGGTCAGTCAGTGGGGGCAGGCACCACAAAGGTGGAGAGAGTATCAGGTGTGGGAGCTGGGAGGGAGGGGGCTATGGGCAGGAAAAAGGCTCCAGATAGAGAGTTGGGGGCCCAGAACTGGTCAGTATACATTCATTAGTCAATGCATTATTCAGTTCCATTTGGCTTTTTTTTTTTTTTTCTTTCTATTGGTTGTAGGGCTTGAGCTCAGGGCCTGGGAGCTCTCCATGAGCTCTTCTGCTCAAGGCTAGCACTCTACCACTTTGAGCCACAGTGGCACTTAGGGTTTTCTGGTGGCTAATTTGAGAAAAGAGTCTCACGGGCTTTCCTACCTAGGCTGGTTTTGAACTGCAGTCTTCAGATCTCAGCCTCCAGAGTGGCTAGGATTATAGGCTTGAGACACTGGTGCCAGAATGTGGCATTCTTTTTTGTGTGTGTGCTGGTACTGGATCTTGAACTCAGGGTCTCCCACTTTCCCTTGGCTTTTTAATCAAGGCTGGTTGCTTTACCATGCCACGCCTCCACTTCTGGCTTTTTGCTGGTTACTTAGAAATAAGAGTCTCGTGAAGCCGGGCACTGGTGACTCACGCCTGTAATCCTAGCTACTTGGGAGGCTGAGATCTGAGGATTGCGGTTCAAAGCCAGCCTGGGCAGGAAAGTCCGTGAGACTCTTATTGCCAATAAACCACTAGAAAACCAGAAGTGGCGCTGTGGCTCAAGCAGTAGAGCGCTCGCCTTGAGCTGAAGAGTGCGGGGACAGCACCCAAGCCCAGAGTTCAAGCCCCACGACCAAGAATAACAACAACAAAAAAGAAGAGTCTTGTAGAGTTGTCTGCTCAGGTTGGCTTCAAATCAAGTGATCTTCAGATCTCATCCTCCTAGAAGTTAGGATTACAGGTGTGAGCCACCAGTGCCCAACTTCATTTGGCCTTTTTTCATTTGGAATGAAAGCCTCCTTCTCTGGACACCAGGGCTCCAGTTTCTGGGTTCCAGATTATTCTATATCCAAGCTGCTGAGAATAGCTTGCCATTCATCTGGGGTGCCCTAAAATCCCAGGTGGGGGGCTGCCCCGAACCACGTCCCAGATCCAAGCCACGAAGGCAGACATTTGTGTGTATACATCCGGTGTCTTGGGGTCCCCACACCACAGGCCTGAGAAGGAGACAAGGCCATGAGCCCGGCTCCCACACACCAGGGGCCCCCCAGAGTCTGCCTGGGGTAAAGAGAAACAAGGTCAGGTGTTAGCTGGGGTTTTTCCCTAATGGAGCGTTTACATATATGTCCCAACCCTGCCCAATATATTCCCCATCCACAGCCCCAGTGCCTGTGCTGTCTGTCTTGCTGTCTCTTCTATCTAGCTTGGGCTGGCCTCAAACTCTGAATCTTCCTGCCTCAGCCTCCTGTGTGCTGGAATTATAGGTATGCACTGTCACCTCTGGCCCAAGTGTGTGTGTAAGTGTGTGTGTGTGTTGGTCCTATGTGCTCTTTGAGCGTTTGTGTTCAAGGCTATCATTCTACTACTTGAGTCACAACTACACTTCTGGCTTTTTTTATGGTTAATTGGAAAAAACAGTCTCGTGGACTTTTCTGCCCTGGCTGGCTTTAAATTACAATCCTCAGATCTCAGCCTCATGAGAAGCCAGGAGCTACCTGCACTTGGCTTGTGTGTGTGTGTGTTAGGACTAGAGCTTGAAATCAGGGCCTGGGGGCTGTCCTCTAGCTTCTGCTCAAGGCTGGTCCTGTATTACTTGAGCCATGGTACCACTTGCAGCATTTTGATAATGACTTGGAGATAAGAGTCACAGACTTTCCTGCCTGGGCTGGCTTTGAACCTTGATCTCAACCTCCCAAGTAGCTAGGATGACAGGCGTGAGCCTTAAAGCAAAATCTGAACTCAACTTTGCCTCAAAGAGGGGGATCCAGCCTCTACCCTCTGCTCTCACAATGCCATACCAGCTTCCTGGCTCTTTGCACATGCTGACAGTTATATCTACCAGTTTCTGGCTAGTGGTTGCTTAAATATACAAGGGTGTCATGTTTGGGCAGAACTTGAGGCCTTCAGCTGTACACAGTGGCTTCAGGGTTCATTAAGGTCTTGGCTTCTAAGTGTCCTCTTCAATGAGCTCTCCTTCAACTCCTGATGCCCACCCTGAAGTCCCTGGCTCCCTGATCCCACAACTAATTCCTGTCTGGAAGCAGCTTGTGTGTGTGTGCGCGCGCGCATGCGTGTGCGCACTCGTGCATGTCAGTACTGGGATGTGAACTTGGGGCCTTGTACTCTTGGTTTTTTTTAATTTTTTTTTTCTTCAAGGCTAGCACTCTACCACTTGAACTATAGCTGAACTTCCAGCTTTTTGCTGTTTATTGGAGGTAAGAGTCTCTCAGAGCTGGGCCCTGGGGGCTCAGGCCTGTAATCCTAGCTACTTAGGACTGTGGTTCAAAATCAGCCTGGGCAGGAAAGTCTGTGAGCCTCTTATCTCCAATTAGCCACCAGAGAGCTGGGAGTAGAGCTGTGGCTCAAAGTGGTAGGGCACTAACCTTGAGCACAAAGGCTCTCATGACTAACAAAACAAAAACAAAAAAAGAATCTCACAGATTTGTCTGCCAGGCCTGGCCGACAATCATGCTCAGTCTCTTGAATATCTAGGATTGCAGGTGTGAACTATCAACACCAGGCTGTAATTAACTTTTAAGAGTAGGAGCTGGGGCTGGGAAGTTGGCTCAGTGGTAGAGTGCTTGCCTTGCATGCCTGAGGCCCTGGGTTCGATTCCTCAGCACCACATAAGCAAAAAAAAA